ATATACCATTTTGAAATTTTTACAATATTTATTCTGTAATTAACTAAAATGTATAAACGAATGAGCGTACGAAAAGTGATAGGACAGACTCTGTGTGTAAAAGAAATGGCTTACCTCTTAGCAACGATGAGTAAACAGCTGATTTCGAGGCGGAGTAACAAGTGACACATAGCATGTAGCCGCGCGCCAAAAAATTATTGTCCTCCGTAACAGATTCACGTGACTCTTTGGGTTCACAATGTGAACTTCACATAGCAAAAAAATGATAAAGCGCTATTATTTATTCACCACCTAGCGGTAGATAGTACGGTGCGTTTTTTTTATAATGGATTAAGCTCCAGTAGGCCTAATCAACTCTCATTATTTAATGCAAAAATTGCTCAAAGTGTCCTTTCTACTGTACACAGAGTTCGGCTCTTCGAACAATATTGCGCGTTGCACGAAGCGTCATTTTCAGCGTAATAGTACCGAAGGCCGCAACAATACTTTCACGTACTTCGTTTTCTCTACCATTACGTCGATGCTCGACTAGAATTTTTATATGATCCCATATCAAAAAATCTAGTACGTTTAAGTCTGGCGACCGTTTAAGTCATGCCGGTCAAGTGATTGAGCCACCACGATCCATCCACTTATCAGAATAACGCACGTTTAATATGTTGCGTACTTGCTGAGAAAAGTGCGGGAGAAAAGGAGCTCCGTCGTGCTGAAAAATCAGCTGCGTCCATATGCGTATCGGCAAGGAGTACGGGCAATTCCTTCTCTAAAAAATCAGCGTATATTTTGCCCTTTAAACGCGGTGGCAAAAAATACGGACCAATCTGGAAATCAACGACGAAAATGCTTAGACATAGTGGCAAAAGAAAAATTGTTTTATTTTTATCGCTCACACATACCACTTGATCCGCGATCATTCTCGTATAGACGTTGATAGATCATCGATTCTGGAACGCACCTTCGCGAGCGACGTGGAGATTTTCTTTGGCCCAATGTAAAAAATTACGCGAATTGAATATGCCGTTTGGCGTAAAAGTCGCCTTGTCGGTCCACAAAATGCGGTCTGTGAAAAATGGGTCTGTGCGAGAAAACCTGCGCGTGTTTTGCCGACTGCCGATGGTTATAATCCAATAAAAATATCGCGAATATAAAAAATCAATGATCACAACACCTTTACAAAAATTAAATCTTTGTTGTGCATTTCCTGGCAGCTGTTGCACACGCGATAATGGTATGTGTGCAATCCATTTACACTTAAAATGTGAATCATTGCGTTCCGTGAGAGTCTCAGTTCTCGTGCTACATGGCGCACGCTGGTATCAGAATTTTCGTCAAACGCGGCCTCCCTCTCTTTATCTCGGACGCGACGACGCACTCGTGGACCATCCGCACCATGATTATGCACAAGACACCCAGTTTCACGCAATCGTTACACTGTACGTAAAATTGTACTTGCCGTTGGATATTGTGCATGGTCGGGATGTCGTTCCGCGTAAATACTAGCCGCGACACGTGTATTTTCTCCCGCTAGCCCGTAGACAATAATTATGTTCGTGTACTCCTGTGGAGTAAATCGCATTTTCGTCGCGAAAAAGCACTACGCGTACATAATCGTTTCACGCGACTGCAGTTGCCTCCGTCGGATACACGAAGCCGGACGATTATAGACAAAAGACAGTCGAGCAATCTGTCTTCAATATCATCGAGATCCATCTTTCACGGACCGCATTTTGTGGACCGACAAGGCGACTTTTACGCAAATGGCATATTCAATTCGCATAATTTTTTACATTTAGCAAAAAAATAATAAAGCGCTATCATTTCCTCACCACCTAGCGGTAGATAGCACAATGCGTTTTTTTATAGTGTTTTTTATAGTGTTTTTTTATCCCCAGTAGGCCTAATCCACTCATAATTTATTGCAAAAATTGTTCGAAGTGTCGTCTTCTCTTCTATATGCAGAGTTCGGCTCTTCAAATACAGTATGTTTGATAAGAGCGTGTACGGCAAAACTCAAAAACTTAGGATAATATTGGGTGTACAACTTAATTCGGTCCGTTTTTTTGTTTGAAAAACGCATTTATTTGAATGATAAAATGAATTAATACATTATTGAAAGTATTGTCCATCGCTAGCCACTACTTTTTCCCATCTTTCTGGCAATTTATGGATTCCGTCGCGGAAGAAGCGTTCATCTTTTGAAGCCAAGAATGAATCGAGCCAATTTTTGATACCCTGTTCTGAAGTGAAGTGTATTCCATTCAAAGCGTTCTGCATCGATCGAAACAAATGGTAGTCGGAAGGGGCAAGGTCTGGGCTATAAGGCGGGTGAGCCAGAACTTCCCATCCGCTATTTTCCAAATAGTTTTTAACCGGAACAGCAACATGAGGCCGAGCGTTGTCATGGTGAAAGATTATGGACTCGTGTCTGGTCG